GATTACGTTTTTGATACGTATTACTCACTTATATGTAATAATATAGAATAAAAATATACTGTTAGTCCGATATTTGAAAATATACATGCGTTCGTTGTCACTATTAAACTGTTGTAATAACAATGAAATGGTCCGCCGGGACTGGAACCCAAGACTCCTTTCTAACACGTCTACTTTACAGCAGAAAATCCCTGATTTTTTACACTATCGGTATTTCAGAACATGAGACACGAAGTCCCATAAGATGATAGGTCTATCCTACACCTAGTCGGTGGTTCAAGTTCGTTATAATTATTATTTCGATAATTGATTAATCATGATTTAATTATGCTAGTTATAACATATTGTAAAATAATTGTAATGTATACCGAACAGTTATTACTTTAGCTTCTTCTCGTTCCACTTGTGTCTTCCGGTCATTCTGCAATGTATGCAAGTGATCGCCATGTTGCAGGTCCCGAACGATCGGATTCCCCAACCAGCTATCTGGCCATGAGTCCCTGTTTCGCAATGTGGGGTTGGGGCGGTCTTGCGCAGCCGCCCTGCGGCATGCCTCTGTTTCGGGGCTCTCTCTTTGTTATTCGTACAGAGTTTTCCCTATTTCTATAAATACATCGGGCAAAATGGGACCTGTACGGAGGTCGCGAGATATCACCCCTCTGACAAGGGGTAGCTGGGGATGGTGCCTTGCGCACGGTACGAGTCTGCCGGCGTCGCTCGCCACTTTGCATCAGATAGAATTGATGCTCTCCTTTTGAGAGTATGCACTCCTTTATTTTCAATAATTGCTGGGTACATAATTATATAGCTTGAATCATTATTTTTTTAATTTTGCATGGATTTTGAGTAAAAGCAGTTGTGATCATTTCCCACTGTTTTTGAACTAATACTTCCATAATAAATTTTAATACCATCCAGACATTTATTTCTTCGAAAGGTCGTAGTTATTTTTCATTTTATTTTTGAGGGGAGTATGTGAAGAATCAATTTTCCTCATATATTCCCCATACAATTATTGAGCTGCTACACAAAGAATTGCTCTGGCTTAAGAGAGAGTGAGCTTTAGGGGTGGTTGTATATTCAATATTCATGCTAAATTCGGTACAGATACGTTAAACGGCATAGAAGCTGTTATGTAATAAGCATATATTTATTTTTTTTAATAAATAATAAAAAAATATATATGTAAAATTTACGAAATATTCAATGTTTCTTTCGTTATCAAAAAATTTGTGTAAACATCAACCTCTTTTATATGTATATACGTATGTAATATCATACGGGATATACCTCGACTGTGATCCGTAAAATACATTTTAAATCACCTAAACGTAATGTTTGATAATTACTGTATCTTTAACATCCAATTTATTTACCTGGTCCTAATGCGTTTGGATCCTTCCATAGGAAACCCGATAAAAAATAATTCAGCTCGGAGTAAACGTAACGTAAAACCCGTATGAAAGAAACCCAGCGGTGCGTAGTTATGTATCGAGCTCTTATGTACAGACACTGCGAGGCGGCGCGGCGTGCCTCGCGGAGTGTATTCATACATATGTACATACATATAGTATATAACCTGCCTCGCAACCGAGGCTGCCTCGTGGCGAGGCTGGCGCACAGGCGAGCCACAACGATCGTCGGTTCTTTGACGAGGTCAAACGTGCCCCTGGGCTGTTCATTACTCGCTACGTTTGGACGTGTATATGCCGAAAACGAATTCGTTTAAAATGAACAATGAAATATGCTTAGTTCTAATAGAAGCGTACAAAGAACATCGAATATTATGGGATCCGAAGGAAAGAAATTATCATAACAGTACTATCAGGGAAGATTGTTGGAATAAAATAAGCGCAAGTTTAAACGTACCTGTGGACGAAATTAAATTCAAAATGAAGTCGCTAATGGGTACTTACAGAAGGGAAAAGTCGAGATACAAACGAAGTCAAGCTGCTGGATTGGGTGTGTATTTTGATGATTATTACAAAATTAAAGATTATTATGAAAATTAAACCAAAAAAATATGCAAAACCGAATATTTGAGAAATTAAACATTTTACAGGAAAAGACAACATTTACGTATCGAGGTGGTTCGCTTACGATCACTTCGACTTCTTGGCTGATCGTGACAATCCCGTTCAAACTGTAGAAACATTAACCGAGGTAAGTTTCTTTCTTTTTTTTTTTTTTTTCATTTAATAATTATTCTGCCATGGTATTGTGTCATTCATAGTAAAATGCCTGGCCAAATGCAAACGTATATTTTTTGCTTGTTCTCTTGTCCTTCGAGGAACATATCGAATCGGCAATAGCGATGTCATTTCTTCGTCATTCTTCCATCTACCATTCACAATGTCGCCATCTTTCTCTGTATCAAACGTTCCAGGCGGTGTATACGTTTGTCGCGAAGTGGAACGTTCTCGTAAAAAGTTGTGCAAATATATAGTCGTTAACACAATTTTCGATGCTTTTTCCGGTCCTAATAAAATCGGTTTTCTTAGAACACGAAATACAGTACTTAATACTCCGAATGCGTTTTCGACAACCCCGCGAGCTCTAGAATGTCGGTAATTGAATATTCCTTCAATTGAGCCTCTTTCCGGATTGCCATCGAATGGCCTCATGGTGTATTCGTTTAGTGGAAATGCTTTATCAGCCAATACCATATACGGCACGTCTACCGAATATGGAATTTGCAAAGCGCTTGGTGCCGGAATATTTAATGCTTTATCTTCCAATTGTTTGTACAAATTAGTATTTTTGAACACCCCGCCATCAGATAGCCGTCCTTGGCACCCTACGTCGACGTAAATAAAGTTATAGTCGGCATCAACTAAGCCGAATAGTACTATACTAACAAAATCTTTATAATTATAATTTTCTGCTCCACTGTTCCAAGATGCTTGGAGCATCACGTGTTTGCCGTCTATAGCCCCTATAGCATGTGGAAAGTTCCACTTATCTTTAAATTCTTTAGCAATAGCCAACCACTCTTCATCAGTGGATGGTACCTGTAATTATAACCTCGAATCAAATTGAAAATAATCACTTACACTACTCTCAAAAATCAGTTTTTTTTATTTTAAACGGCGAAAACAATTAGAACTGTCTATATGTATTTTTGATTTTTGTTGTACAGGAACCCCGTGCATCGACACGGAATATTGACGACTCATCGTCAGAAAAACGAGACGCAACTGATCAAATTCCAGGTCCTAGTTCTAGTGGGATTAAAAGAAATTTGAATTGCAAAAATTCGCCGAAAACCCCTCCTAAGAAAAAAAGGCGCACAATACCAAAAACCACCTCCGAGGATTATATGCTACAAAAAGCATTTTCTATTTTACAAAAAAATACAGATGTAAATACGGATCCGTATTTTACGTATGGGCAATATATTGCCAATGAATTGCGGAAATATGATTCGCATACACTAACAATGGTTAAGCAAGCAATTAATAATATTATTTTTGACGCTGATTTAGGAAGATTGCAGTATCCGTATCAATCAAATTTTTCTGCAGCTTCCTCACCGCCATCGCCTTCAGTTACACAAAATGTAACGCAAAACCAAGAAGATGCAGAAATTGTTAAGGACAATTCAGAAGACATGTCGATGCTTTTATGATAAATAACATATTGAAACAATAGATTATCCGTTATTTTTATTAACTTACCTTCACAAACTCCTGAAGTGCCTCGATTATTGCATCACAAACTTCTGGAACCATGGCTGATATAGCTTGTTTCGACACACGGAAAAGATACTGTAAACTCGTAAATGAGTCTCCAGTGGCTAAATATCTTAATGTAATCGCCAGTCTTTCTTTGACGGTAATGGCTTGTCTCATATACGTATCATTTTTTCGAACTTTTCGATCAATTAAACCAGTCAAATATTCGAAATCAGTCATTGTCATGCGTGCATAATTTTTTACGGTATCTTGAATCAATTCAAACGTCATATCTGGCATTAACCTATTTCCATGTTGTAGACGTTTTCTATATAATTCTTTGATCCACCATCGTCGTTTCTGTTTCTGTGTCTTCTTATTTTTCAAAATTCTGTGAATTACAATAAAGGCAAGCGCTGCAACAGCTGTAGCATTTGGTGTATACGCCATGGTTGCTTCGCAATAACTGCTGGCACTGTTGGGTAGTATTGGCGGAGCTGGCCAGTATTGGCTCTCCTGTCTTCTTGCTTTCTTGTCCTCATGTATTCTATATAAAAACAGGAGGCAACTCGATCGAGACAGCTACGGTAAACTACGATGAACTTCACCGGGCGAAGACGGCCTCACAGGTCTAATATTTAGTAAATGCATATAATAGGTATATGTATATACACATATGTATACCTGTGTCTAGTACCTGACTGGGCCGACCTTCCGTAATTCATCCCCACTCTCCAAAACGAACGCGCAGCTGTCAAAAGTGTACTATCTCTCTCTACCTACAGGGTTGGGTGCCGTGCTTCTTACACCCTTACTCCGTATTATTACTGTTAAAAATACGAGGAATGCTTACTCGCTTTATTCCTGAAAATATATCATTACTATGTATTTTGAAGATCGTTAATGAGTTTAAACTCTTCAACAAAATCACCTAGGGGAACTGAACTTTTCCTAACAATGTATAAGAAACTGAAACAAATTGGATTGCACAGAGTTAATGTGCTTCACATTATTCATGGCATAAAGTAAAACTTAATAAATGTCACCTATGACCAAATAATATATTTAAAGGAGATCAATCTTTGTGTTGTATGTACCTTTATTGTGTAGTTAACGTACACATTAATCTATCAGAAATTTTCACAAACTATCTTCTTGCACCCTAAACGTAACACGCAATACTAATGTTATGTTATATAGAGTGAATTCTTTATAATTAATGGTTTCGGTGAATCACCTTATGTTTACTAGTGAACCAGTGATACCAAAAATTATTGCGCTTGGACGTTTGCGATATCATACTTGTTTCGGTAGTTGTGGTGAACCTCAAAGATATTTCGCTCTCAAGCGAAGCAATATTTGCAGAAGTTAAGTCTAACATAAATAGCCTAAGTAATAGTTAAAATTGACAACTCATTGCTTGTATAAACAAAAATTCTGGGATGCTTCATAATATTATCCAATGCTTAAACGATTACGTACTTGCATTGATATTAGCTTGATTATAATTAACAGAAAACTGACCGAGTCAATTGTATAATTTTATACAGAGGTCTCCTAGACAAACGCATTTTCATATCGAACATTCATTATTACACAACATTCGTTTCACGGTGGGTAATACACTGAAGCAAAAAATCGATCGTAATAACACTTGTACAGAGCAACCAATGCACTAACAGATACATTGCATTGTTCATACTATTCGTACAATGCAAGTAAATTATACTCTATATATAATGTACGATATAATGTGTTCAGAGAAATACGTAAGGTAAAAATGATCGTGCTTGGGGGGGGGGGGCATTACAAAAATGCGTTTGGCGTCGTATCACTTACATTCACACTTACAAGAATGCTGTAGGTACATACGATGATAACTTTGAAAATAAATGGTAACCAAAACTATAGACATCTCTCTCACTCTTTTTTGTCTTGCTGTGCACAATACGTTGTTCCAACAACATACTGCAAACCTAAAGCCATTTCTTATACACACTGCAACGGTCCAGAATATAGATTGAGAAGTGGATTTCTGGCTTTATCTTTTATCACTTGTAAAAGAGGAAGCCATCAGAACTCGATGAAATTTACTTAAAATCTCAAATTGTCTCAACTAATAATAATGAACTGTTCTTCAGTCCAATATTACAATCTATTTACTGACACGCTCAATAGGTATCTTTCTATTGTACGGATGAAGATTTAATTAAGATGAGCGAATGATTCTTTACACTAACTAGTTGGCGGCGGCGGTGGAGGTGGTTGCGCCAATAATGTGGGCAAAGTATTGAGATCGATGCCAGGTGGCGCTGGCGTTTGTTGTTGAGGGGGAGGTGGTACGGGCGCAGCCGGCGGCCATCCACCCATTTGTTGTGGCTGCCATCCTGGGAATCCTGGTGGCGGGGCTGTTCCAGGTGGAGGTGGACGCATTGGCCCTTGCTGTCCCTGTTGCCATGGCGGAATACCCATTCCAGGAGGTGGAATTTGCGTCGGAGGCATTTGCCCAGGTGGTGGTGGTTGATTATTGCCAGCCATCCAGGGCATCAACGGTGGGATATTCGGTTGAGACGTGGAACCTGGTGGTGGTGGAGGCGGCTGCATCACGCCAGGTGGAGGAGGCATGCTAACTGGCGGTTGCCACTGCATGTTCATACCGTTCATGTTATTCACTTCTCCTTGATTCCATGGTGGTGGAGCCATGCCCGGTGGTGGCATCATTGGTCCACCTTGCATCATTTGTGGTGGTGGATGCGCTGGTGCCGCCATTAATGCCCGAGGAGCTTGTTGTCTGAAGAGAGAAGAAAAATTTGAATGTCGGACTTGCATGTACAATATCGCCCCCCCCCCAAATTTGATTTATTTTTGTAAGGACAAGGAAAAAGGATAATGACGAATGAGAGATACATTTGTCTCACTCCATACCTGACGTGCTCATATTCTTTTATACAATAGCACTATGACAGAGTACGGATGGTGATGTTATTACACGTGGAAGGATAAAACGTAATCGTATGAAGGGGGGCGGGGCTATATTATTTTTGTAAAATGTATGCAGAAATTTACCTATCAAAGAGACCAGGATAATTAGGATTCGGGTTCGGTTGTCGCGGTTGCCCACTTTTGGATCTATCAGGTGGTGGACCTTCGCCTAATTCCGCCATAAGGGACATATATTCCTCATCGATTTTAGCTTTATCGCCACCTGGACCCATTCCTCCCATTCCTGCAGCAGCCGGTCCACCCTGTCCAGGTCTTTTGGATCGACAATCACGGGCAATATGACCTGCTCCCCCACAACTTGAACATACTATGTTATTTGTCACGTTCGGTTTGTCTGGACACTGTAACAGGTAAAGTACAAATTTACATAAATATCTTACATAAAATATTCTTTTATACTTCATATATTAATATAATACTAACCAGCCATGACTTATGATCTGATGCACCACAATTAGTACAACGTGGTCCATCATTTTCACGCAAAGTTCCGTTCAATAAAGCCAATTCCCTAAGTTGATTACGCCGTAAATCATTTTGTCCTTCAGGTACTTCGACACCTTGTCGTATGATTTCGTGAATCTGTTTAAAAAAAAACAAAATAATTTCAATAGAAACGCATTTATACAGTAAAACCGTAGCGTAAAAGCAACTTACCCTCTCAACTGCTTTCTTTACAGCGTCCAGATTATTAGCTGTAATATACGCATGCAGAGGTTCATCCTCACCAGGTAGAGGTTGACCATCTTTCCTTCCAACTTTTCCCTCTTTTACTGAACCTTTACCACGAATTATAATCTTTGCTCCAGTCTCCTTCTCCATTGCTGCAACGTAAAAACAATAATAATATAGACACAATATCTATGCAATGGCAGTTTAAGTAAAATAATTAAGTTTACATACATTTCAATGTATTTCCACGTGGACCAATAAGAAGACCAACAAAATTAATGTCTGGGTGTTCTTCTTGGGGAATCATTACTTTGTCATGAACTCGAATTATTGGAGGTCTAAAAAAATAAACGAATTCACATTACATGTGTGTTATAGCGTATGTTAAAGTTTTAGTAAGTTTAATAAAATTGTGATTACTTGTAGTCCGGCGGAGGTTTAAATTCTGGATTAATTTTGAGAATCTTCTGAATAAGGTTGTGACGTTCTTCCTCCAATTTACGTCTAGTACGATATTCTCTTGTATTTAACCGTTTACCATCACTACTGTATATGGGTTCTGGGGATGGTGATCTGTAAAACAAAAAAACGGAAGATTTCGTCAAGATACATAGTCTGCGTCAAGATGGTACTAGCATACAAGCAACCTGATCCTACTATGATTGTGTGATTAAGTGAGGAAAGAACTGCTGATTATTAACAGAAAATTGAGAATCGAGACAACATACTTTGATTGGCTTTCTGAATATTATTAGGCTTTAATCATCTCTTTGTTTGACATATACTTTCTCTTATAAATAGGATACATTATGACCATGTTGGAAAAAGAATATTTCTTTTTGCGGCATAATATCAGAAGAACAATTATTATCCTTTGCATCAAGAAAACTAAATAGACACGGAAGTGAAATTAAATAATCTCTCGAGCATATTTATGTACATACAGACACGTGTAATATATTTTGCATCAAGGAAAAGTTCGTTAAAGAAATCTTCAAAGTTTAATAATTGTATTTTTGCTAATTCCGGATTTAGTACGATGCTAAAAGGAAATGCAAATATTCTGTTTCTTTGTATAACTATACTGTAATCATAGATTCTGAAAGGTATAAGGTTTGTTTTCCAACAGTGCCAAGGTATCGAAACAAAGAATAAAAAATGGTATATTGTTAATTGTAGGACTGCTATATAAGTCTATTCAGTAGGCAACCACTGGAAGACTGCGCGTTTGTGCACGGCAGATATCGGTATGATGGTCGGCTGCTAAGATAGATCCTGTGATTATTAGGAAACAATTTTTTTGGGTTAGTCAATAATAGTTTGTATATTTTACTATGATGTATAATACTAATGAAACACAATAATATAAAATAATGGTTCCAGCTAAAATCAGAAAAGTTAAACCTATTGGAGTAAATTAATTTATTAGAGAAATTAATATGTGTATTTATTTAAGGTTGAACCTGAAAGTAACGTAAGATTGATCTTTATATAGTATTATATGCCTATATTAGCAATTATTGCTTGATCAATTTCATTATTTTCCTGAAATTTGCTTGTTAAATTTGTGATTAAAGGGTAAAAAAATCTATTGTAGTTAAATAATGATAAAGTAACTCCTCTAGCCTTTATGTAATTAGAGAAGAGATTTATATTGCCGTGCAAATCACGGCAGCCTAATTAGGAGGAGTGTCTATCAAGGTGGTCTATGCATGAGTTTCCATTATTCTATTAAGATTAGACATTTTAAACATATTTACGATCTTCGATAATTAAACAGAGCCTACCAACTTGAATATAATAGTTTGCATAGGAACACCTTAAGATTTCCCTACATGTGCAACAGTAGAACTATTTAAAAGATATATGGACTAGAATACCCACTGCATATTAAACACTACTACTGTAATTGTTTTGTGACTTACATATCTGCTTGTATTCAGTATCATAAACATTCAATTGTGCAATTTATATAAACAAATTTTGTAAATTATGTGCTCAATAAAGTCACAAATAACAGTCATTTGTTTCTCACACAACTAATATTTTTATGTATGTACACCTTGTAAGTATGGAATTTTTTGTAGCAGTGTTTAAGAAAAATGAATTAGTAAAAGAAATTGATTAGGGCAAACCAATATTATCAAAATGTATCTTCTGCGCCGCATGGAGGCTTAAATCAAGCCCAATCATTTGAAAGAGACATCTGTATCCCACACTAATTGTATCAGAGCCATAACAGAGGGTCCCTGTATTTATGGGCTGCTGAATGGTCAGTAGATAGGTATTGTAGATATGTAATGGTCATTTTTGGTATGTAAGTTTCTTTCAAACCTTTCCTCAGGGTTAAGCGGAATTCCAAGGTCTCCAGTACGTAGCTTCCTAAATCTGCAGCTGAACTGTAAACCAACGGGTTAGAGGGGGCGGAAACCCCAACAGTTAGATATTGCCAATTTGCCATAGCCATATACATTCTATAATGTAAGCATGTGTAAAAATTGTAGAGTATTTTCCTATATCTAAAAATTTCCCCGAGGTAAATGTTCCATTAAAACATGTACATTTGTTCCCTTTTTTTTTCTTTTTTTGTCAACAAAGTGCAGAAACACATTTTTGTACAGCTCTTAAACTTGCTATTACATACGCACAATTACATGTCAGATTTGAACATAAGTTCAATTAAAAATTTTCCAGTTATACTTGTTATTCAGCAAAATTGGCAATCCCTATTGCCAAACTCATTTGCTCGATATATTTACAAAACTGTCAATTACCTCTGGCAACTATAAACTTTAGCAATACAAACATACTTACATCTTTTATAGTATTATAAATTAGCTTTCAGAAACTTATAAGCAGAAGCAAGATTCTTAAATTTTATTCCTGCCCAATATATATATATATATATACATACATACAATTAAACGTTGCAGATACATCTTCCTACGTTCCTCTTTTGACTCTTTTTCCTGCTTACCATCGCCTAAAACATTTCCAAGTTGATAGCGTATACACAATACAAAAAAGAACGGCTGTATATTATGAAAATAATGTGATTGTACAGATATGTTTATGATACAGACAACATAAACAGACTAAAATGTTTTAAAACATAAACGCATCATTACTGAATATTGTAGCTAGTTTGAATATTGTATTGTAGGATAGTTTTTCTTCCATTTGAATTCTTTCAGTACTACTTAAAATATTTCAACGTAAATATTCAGAATACTTTATATACTTTCAAAGTCTGCAACTCTTTTTGCCAACATCTTGTGTACACGAGACAAGGCAAGAACAAGTGAAGTGGACACGTCGCGCTACGTAGTAGTACCCGTATAATTTAAACAACAAAGTGTATTCCTATAATCAGGTCGCACGATACGTACACTCCGCTTCGCGTTTCCTCACGTTATTCGTCGGAGAATTGGAGGAATTGGAGTTTAGCTGGGTTCCGTTCGCAATCGCGGCGCTCACCGCGGCAGCTGCGGCGGCTGCTGCAGCTGCGGCGGCGGCCGCGTTCGCAGTTGCAGCATTTTGTTGCGCGTTTTGCAAGTAACTTGGATTCAACAACGATGTGAAATTCCGTGACTGATTCATGTCGCAAATCGTGCCAAAGACGTAAAATACGTCGTAGTAACTGCGTGTTCACCGGCACAGCACTGTTTCTTCGCCCAGGATTGTGCAGAAGTTTACACCACCAACAAAAATGGCGAGGTTCGACTGACGGACACCTTTGCCTCTTTCATGGGCGTACCGGAGACGGATGCTGTCCGGTTGAAATTAGTATGGAACATTCTCGCTAGTTGGCGCTTCAAAGATTTTTGGAACACATCGTCATTACCATGGAACTGACCCAGTAGAGAAGGATATAAATGTTTATATAATTATCCTGATCTGAAAGATTTCTTTTTATGAGCAAACGAATATAATTGATTACTTCCTTTATTAGCGATTATATTTCCCGATTTGATTGTAGTATACACCGACAATTAGAATGATAATTGATGATAATCCATCCCACTTCGACACACGAGTGACCAGTCGAAATGAAAGCTTTATCTTGTGTTGTGATATTCAATGGTATATGTCTATGGATTTTTGCCAATATTATCAGATTGATTGCTGAACACTCCTGAAATCAAAATTGTATATTAACAATTGTCGCTTCTAATAATGCTTTCACTTGATATTTCATTTTCATTATAAGTACCAGTAAGTACTGATAAATGTGGAAGACAAGACATAACGCGCCGCTTACGGCAAAACAACCAAATTACTAACTAATTAGTTCATATATTTTCGACTAGATGGCAGTACACCTTAATTCAGCGTTGGTTCATTAAAAAATTAAATATTAATAAAAGTAATATTATAACTACAACAGCACGCAGCACTTGTTATTGACTGATATCGACGTAAGAAAAATTAATGAACAATTTGATACCAACAGAACAAATTTTCAATTCCATCTAAGGCCAATCTCTTTTCCTATTTGTTCTTTTTGCTTCTTGTGTTTTATTGATTTTTTTTATTTTTTAACGAAGTATACGCCAATTGTGTCATTGTATCGACAAAACAATGGTATGTACCCATAATTTTCATGATTACCGTGGATGACAAATTATATGGTGGTATAATCTTACAGCAAGACTACGATCTACGATACAAATTGGATCCTAGCTTTGACCTTTTGCCGCAGATGGTGTTCTAACTTTCTTCGACTTATTTATCGTTACATATTCTCGAACTGTTTAAGTATTAATTACAGACATCTCGATCGACGATTGTTAATACACCACTATAATTCAGTGGACTCAACAAACAATTTGACACTATATGAAACAATATTTAATCGCAACTGCGCAATTTTTCTATTATTTTTTTTTCATCTAAAATACTTTGTATACTACTAAACATTATGGCATAAGAAAGACCTTATTTTCACTGCAGACTGTCGTGTTGTCGAAGTGGAGTGGACAGACAACTAGGTATTTTGACCGTTGATGCACGTTGATGTACCCACGGTCGCATCTCGTTCGGCTATTGGTCGCGGGTATCGGATACGACTATTAAAACACCGATTTTCCAAAATTCGTGAATTCTCTGTTAATTCACGTCGCCGCCGCGCGTTTTCTCGCAAACATCGTACTACAAGCATTACACCGGCAAAAGAATTGCGGTGGCATCGGCGGAACACGCGAGGCGGCAATATATAATCCCGGCATTATATTCACAATCACAACAATGGAGTCGAAAGGTTGTCGGACGCTCGGGAAACGTGATGTAACGTTCCATGTGTAACATGGTTCAAACGTATTGACACCGGCGTTGGAACGGTATATACTGTCGGCCTGTAGTCCGCTCGTCATGAACGTAAACGAACAACCGCCATCAGGAATCGCTTGACAGCTGTTCAACGTTCGACCGTGATGCGTGCTGGATTCTTTTTTCTGAGTCTAAGAAACGCAGCCCAACGCGGTCGCGCGAGGCCTCAGAAGTGATCGACAATGAAACTGCCGTGTGTTCTCGACGCGCCGCAACGTGGATCCGCCGTAGCGTAATCGGTGCGCCCTGAATGTTTTCCTTGATTATTCTCGCGTTCGAGGAACAGCTCGCGGTATAATGGCAGCTCATAAGACGGGCGGGCAAAGCGCCCGAAAAAAAGTCCAGGTACATTTTCGAAATATCTTATTATCCATTTGTTGAATCTTCCCCCTTCTGTCGGTTGGTTTTTTGAAGAAAGATTTCGAATTAATCGAGTCTGCGGTTCTTATGGGATCGGGCATGGCTATATTGTGGACGAGATATAAAATGTAGTCATAAAATCGACCGGAAGGTAAAGTACTTCTGTCTTGGCCGCCGGGATGAAAGAATTTGACAGAAATCTGTGGTGTAATGGATCTTGAACCTTATTCAGGTTCATACAAACTATTCAAATTCCTTTTTCGTTTAATGGTTTTTTACTGTCATAATGCAATGTCAATAATTAGTTAAATACTTTGTTAAATAATTTGTTAAATAATTTGTTTAAATTGCTGTTAGTTATCAGTACTATCTTATTGTGGCACTAAACTAAAATACATCCTGTGCCATCGGTAGGACTTGTTTACGGTAGGCTTATTTTATGATAATAGGAAATCTTTATTCATCGTTTATACTCTTGGTGGAAGAGACAGAGTTGAAGAATTCAAACTACGAGTGATGATATATAGTATCTAATCTAATGCTATGTAATAATCTAATCTAATATTTTCTAAAGGTGTCTATGGTTATAAGAGATGAAGTGGAAAAGAGACATAGAGCTGGAGTCAACTCCTTACAATATGATCCAGCTTTGCATAGGCTTTTTTCTGCAGGTAGAGATAGTATTATAAGGATATGGAATTGTAAAAGTATGAAGGACCCATATTTTCAATCGATGGAGCATCATACAGATTGGGTCAATGATATAGTATTATGTTGTGGTGGCAAGAATCGTATGTATTATTTTATTAAAATAAGCAATTGAGAGACAAAGCAATTCCATTGACACCTGAAAATTAATAACACTTATCTGCTCTAACTGCAGATGCCAATAGAGTTGCTTTGTACTTTGTAATAGTACCTTAAAGGAATAGAAAAAAAACTAAATTTCTTTATTTACAGTGATATCAGCCAGTTCTGATACAACAGTAAAAGTATGGAATGCACACAAAGGTTTTTGCATGTCCACATTAAGGACACACAAGGACTATGTAAAGGCTCTAGCATATGCTAAAGATAGAGAGCAAGTTGCTAGCGCAGGTTTAGATAAATTGATCTTCCTGTGGGATGTTAACACATTAACTGCTCTTACAGCGAGCAACAACACAGTAACAAGTAAAAATATTTGTTTCGATTATTAAATGATTTTTCACCTTTTATTATTACGTTATCCTTTAAATAATACTTTTGTGGTTCACAGCGTCGTCCCTTAGTGGAAATAAGGATTCAATATATAGTCTTGCCATGAATCAGACTGGAACAATTATAGTAAGCGGTAGCACGGAAAAAGTTTTAAGAGTATGGGATCCGAGATATTGTAATAAACTAATGAAACTTCGTGGACACACGGATAATATTAAAGCTTTAGTATTAAATCGAGATGGCACTGAGTGTTTGTCTGCTAGTTCCGATGGAACTATTAAACTTTGGTCATTAGGGCAACAAAGATGTATGCAAACGTTTAGAGTACACACAGAAGGTGTTTGGGCGTTATTGGTAATTTTCATTTCTCTTCATTTTTGATATACAATACATTTCATGAAGATAACACAGAATTCAAACTAAGCCCTATCGAGTTAAAAAAAAAAATCATTTTCAGGCTACGGATACCTTCAGCCATGTGATATCGGGAGGTAGAGATAAAAGAGTTGTAATGACTGAATTAAGTTATCCCGAAAGATATACTGTTATATGCGAAGAAGAAGCACCTATATTGAAAATGGTTATGATGCCCGATCAGTCTAGCATTTGGGTGGCAACTAGTGAATCTACTATAAATAATTGGGTAACAATCTGTTATGTTCTTTATAACATTAAAAAACTGTCGACAGTATAGAAACAAAACTTAAATGTCGCGAAACTGTATTACAGTCTATAAGTCAAAAAGATTGGCAGGACTCGGGAATTGATGATTACTGTGACTCTGGTAGCGGAGTAACATCGAATGTTTTGCGAAATACAGAACCTGCACAAAAAATACTAGGTGGTCCTGCAATACGGCATTGTCATGTTTTAAACGATCGAAGACACGTTTTGACAAAAGATACGGAAGAGAATGTAGCCTTGTACGATGTATTAAAGGCGTGCAAAGTTGAAGACTTGGGAAGGGTAAACTTCGAACAGGAGATACAGGAAAGGAATAAAATGGTGTATGTTCCGAACTGGTTTAATGTAGATCTTAAAACAGGGGTACGTTCTTATGTGATTCTTTGTTGTACAATTGAAACTAATAGAATTATAGAATTCAAGATAACTGTACACATTTTCACATTCTTCTAGATGTTGACTATTCATTTGGGTCAGGATGAAAATGACTGTTTCTCCGCATGGGTCTCTGCAAAAGAAACTGGTCTCGCTGAAAACGATGCTGTTGACCAAAAGGGTAACATTTTTACTGATAAAAATGTGTTCCGCTGTTTACCTTTGTACTATTCTTTGAAACGATATTTTCCGTTTCAGTGAATTACGGAAATCTTTTGCTACAAGCTTTACTCGAGCATTGGTGGAGGCCATTACATGCCGATGATGAAAACGAAGGTAGTAGTAACGATGGTAATGGTCCTATTCATACAAGAGGAGGAAATCCATACTTTTCAGTACCTAGTCATACGCCTCTTATATTTAGGTATGCACTGGTTAACTATATTAGTCGATTAATTCTAATGTATTCAGTAAAAACGATAATAAATATGCTATTTTATTATAGCGAAGTGGGAGGGAAAACTTTGTACAGATTATTAGTTAGAGATGCTGCGGGAGAAACAGAAGGAGGATTATTAAACGAAACTGTACCGGCATGGGTGGTCAATATCGTTGTGGACAAAAATCTTCCACAATTTATTAAAATACCTTTCTATCTTCTTCCACACGCCTCGTCCGGTGTAAAAAGTCTGAAGAAGTATGTAAACAAGTAACCACATTCACGAAATTTTCATCCAAAGATGCTCTTCGAATTTATTTATGTGTCTGTATTTTTATTTTTCTAGGGATCGCTTAATCGCAAATGATTTTATACAAATTCGTAAAGTCGCGGAACATGTTTGTGATAAGGTGCTTGGTGCAGGAAGTGACTCGGGATCGGTAGCAGGTGCTGGGAATACAGTATCCGGAGGTTCTCCAGCAGGGGATAGAACAAATACAGATTCTAATGCTGATAATTCTTCGCTGGCCGAAGAAAAAGTCGAACTTTTATGTAACGATCAGGTTCTAGATCCTTCTATGGATTTAAGAACGGTAAGTCTTAAATAATAAATATTCTAATAATTGGTGAAAAGCTAAGTTCTAGCAAGTTAAATATTTAATTTACAGTAACAAGTTTTTTAAGTTTCTGTTCCATTATGTCTTAGGTCAGGCATTTAATTTGGAAGAGTTCGGCAGACTTAACGCTTCATTATCGACCGCTGAAATAGTTAGGGCTGAGTACATCGGAGCAAGGATCTCTAAAGTGTGCCTGGTTTTTTACTATGGTGAGGTAAGTATATATCCGGTTATTCGGTTATTTGGGTTTTAGATAATTTCTATACGAAGGAAAATATATTTCAGAGTAACAGAAGACATGTGGACTAGTTGCAGAGTGTGGCACCTCACGCTACCTCCTCTTCACGAAATGTTCAATCGTCTTTCGATGGATGTTTCGTTAGACACTGCAATGGAAAATGAGTAACAGCCTAGGCAACACACGGAGTACTTGATACTGAATGCGTTCAAAGGCAATAATGTGTGGAAGTATTAGTATGAATTGCTCATGTACATTTATATCCTGAGGCCAAACTTATCCCTGAAACGCGATGAACTGCTGATTTCAGTTAAGTCTGCTTTTAGAGATATAATATGCTCTTTTGTACCTGGGTGTAGAGTATTAAATGCTTATATCGTCAGCCATTTATCGTCTTCCCACTTCAAAAGTACCAGTGAGAAAGTGAAGCACAAAAACGAGAGGGACAGATCGTACGGCCCAGGAAGTTCTTTGTTTCGTTTCCTCTGAACGCCATCATGTTCATACGATGCTTCTCAAATCTTTCTGCGCTAGTACCACGTAGATGTATTTTATAATTTAATAAGTAGTAGTAGTAATAGTAGTAGTTTCAGTTTTCAATTAATATGAAACGACAGGAACTAGTTAACCAATAGTACTCCACACGCCTGCCTTGTTGTCAGAAAGGAGAAAGCAAACTATTCTATGGGAAGAAGAAAATGTCAATTTACTATTAATCAAATTACATTTGAGCAGCCAAATTAACAGTTCAATATTTCCTGTCAGTAACATAGGAGATAAACAGTATATAACTGTCTTCGATGTAATAAGGTCAAATTCTGGCTCTAGTGGAACTTCCATTAATTAAATTTGTATTTACGAGATATATAACGATGTTTCATAAGAGAAGAAAAATGTAAGTATGATATAGTTGTCGGTTAAACAGATATAGCTACATTGACAGAATTTGACTTTAGAAGGCAATTCTAAACAGATTAAAGAGAAGAAAGAGTATGTAGTTGAACTTATGTTAAAAAGTATTCACTCTACTAGGAACCTACAAATTGTATATACGAACGCGAGTGTAAGTAATGTCCCCTAATTACGGTGATGGGCTGTATAAATAAAAATTGAGTGAAATGTATTGAAAACTTGCTATTACGCCAATTCTATGGAATTGGGATAAACGCTTGACCTTTCTATTAAAAAGAAGAAGAAAAAAACAAACAAAATAGAAGAAGGAGAATATACTGTTCTTTATAGATACGGCCCTAAATGTTGTAATTTTTATGTTATCGAAATGACATACGAGCAAATTTTTTAATAAATCTAGAGATTATTCCATTGTTACATTTTAATATGCTGCGTACCGTAAGTCTATTTATTTGCTAAGCTTTTGTTACACTTGTTCCATAATTTAAAGAAATAATATACCGCTGCTTAATTTTTTTTTTCCTTCGATTATAGTACATACTTGTTAGACCTTCAGGTTTAATGTTTCTCTCGAATCAACGACACGTTGATTAAGGGAATATGCGGCTACCAAAAAGAGACCTGTACATTTAATAGTTAAGTTTGGTTCATATCTTTATGTTTGTAACTTAAGCATTATATGTATATTTTTTACAAAGAGGTAATAGTTATTATCGCATTTTATTAGTTCTTTTCAACTGAAATGTGTATTTTCTTAACAAAAAAAAAAAAGAAACACGAATGACCCTCGTTATCGCGACAGGAAATCAACATGTGCCTGATCATAGATTATAAGTTGTAGAGGGCATTTCAATTATGAGCTGATGTGTATTGGTCCTTTGAAATAATATGAATTGTAAGTTACAGCGTTGCGATGCATAATCATAGAAAATATTTTGTCACGTGTGTCCAGCATTCTTTGAGTATAAATTTATAAGATTCGTTCGTAGATATTAACCGTGTTTTATTTTTCTAATGCCAGCCGCAATACATTACCGACGAATTAATTGTTTTATATTATGTATTAACGATCGAACGCGAGACTTCTCTATTACTTGTAATTTCGTTCCTTTTTATGGAAAGAAAAACGTGTTCTATTCATATTGTACTATCAAAGTGCTATCTGTTACTTTGCATAATTCAGTAGATATTCATGAAGATTTAATTCTACTGTTTAGCTGTTTCACGCGTAGGTAATATTATATTAGTTTTAGACACGAGACATGCATTTCATACAGTATTCGTAAAAATTATAACTGAGCCTTCCTCATTAAAAATAACATTGTTCATTAATGGAAGTATTAATGTGTAACGTTAAAAAGAAAGAAAGAAACTCTTGTAACTACACTTTTGAAATATGAGGATAACTTAAAATCAAAACTAATTATACATCCCATCTTTTTAGTAACGGACAGTAAACGTTTTCGAAGTGAAAAGATTGTCAGTCCTTGCATAAAGAAAAAAACAATTGCAGAATGGTGCCAAATTTTATACTGAAAGAAATTCTTGCAGTGCACCAATTCCTTTTAAAGAGAGACTAAGATGAATCTTTTTCTGTAAACATGCTTTTAATGATAACTTACTAAATACAGTAGTTATAATATATTTATTGTCTAAGGCCACGTATTAGTAGCAATTCAGGTTTACAACAATGATTTTTCCTGTTTTCTAGAACAACAGAAGTATGTAGAAAATATCGTCTCTTATCTAAGAAGATCTGGATTCGATAGGAATGATTTCATTGTAATTTATGAGCATAATTTATAAAGTGCATCGTCATGTCACAGTAGATGATTTTCTACAATTTTTCTACAAGCTAATCAAGAAACGAGACGATATTCATTTAATACTTAAAGCGTGCTTTCTTTTCATCTACTTGCCGTCACAGTATGTGAGAAAGAATGTTGTAAAACTTATTTTTCAGTAATCTTATTAGAACAGCAGAATTGGTATGTAATGTGTTTCATATCACGAATGATACCGTGTTGGTTTCTTTGTAATTACCATCTACTTTCTACTTTGAAATAATTGTACTGTGAAATTACTCCAGATCATGTACACCATTATGAAATTATTAATATTTAAATAAAACATCTAATTTAATACAGAATATCTTTCATAATTCTTATACATAATTAGTTGCAAATATAAAATCAAGATACCTAAACTTTGTTATTAAGAATATGTTCTACAGCTTCCACAAAGGAGATGCATACTTTTGTCGGTGGTGGTGTAATTGTATTTTCATCCCCTTCTCTGTATTTTCCTGTTTGCACTAGAAGACCTCTGATGCCAATAGCTTGTGCTCCAGCCACATCATCTTTAACATCCTAAATCAATTTGTAAATATGTGAATTTGCATAGATATCTTGAACAATAACTAATACAGAATGTCACACATAACATAACAAGCTACTTTCTTAGAAGAGAGAGAGAGAGAGAGAGAGAGAGAGAGAGAGAGAGAGAAAGAGAGCTAGCAACTTCTGTTAGGTTTTAAAACATTTCCTATGTTTTATATTTTCATCCTGCCTTAACTGTTCTGAAGCATAGCATTAATACCCAAAAGAAATTATTTCAAATACGTGTTCCCTGTTTTAAAAAAGAATCAATTTAAAAGTACCAATCTCGCCCTCTGGTGATAGCTGTTTCCGGTGAACTTCCGAAAACGAAATTTTTGCTATTTTTAACAATTATCTTGAGTTTTGTGTGACGTTTTGTTTAATTGATATTAATAAATTCCTAAAAATTGCATTCCCTACATCACCAATCATAACTGCTTCCTCCGGAGATAGATTTCCCAGAGCCGCCTTGAAGAATTCCGGAGTAGGTTTACCGACAACTTCCGCTTTAACGTTAGCGGAATATTCTAGGCCTGAAATAAATGCACCAGGTCCTAAAGCTAAACCATCCGGTCGTTTATAATATCGTCCTTTATGAATCGCAATGAGCGGTGCACCGTCCAACAACAACCTAAAAGTATACATAATTTTCTTCTATTTTATAAGAACAGCGTTGATACTTTTATAATAATGACATTTTCTGTGGTTTAACATTAATATACCTAAATGCTTTGTTCAATTCGTCGTACTGAAATTTGTCCGGTGCCAATCCCACCAAAACAGCATTAGATTTTTCATCATTTTTTACTAAATTTTCGAAGTCTTCGGTGGCTGCGGGGTCGATCAAGAGCATCGGATTTAATTTCCTCGTAGCGATTAATCTCCTTGCAGCGGCCAAAGAGCTGAAGATTTCTTCTTTTTTAATCTCGAAACCGAGGCCCATCAGTCTCTTGTGCAAAATATTACCGGACTCTTTCGTTGTATTGGTGACGAATTTCAGCGGTATATTAGCGCTTCGAAGCCTGTATCAGAATTCATAGACTGATCTTATATCTTCGTCCAATTGATAATATTCGGTTGAATCATAAGTAACGTTAAATGTTCTCGATCATTATCAATCATTATTGAAACCCTTGATCAGCGTTAAAAACATAAACGTTCTATTTAATTACGACTTCGTACACTTGTCTTTTATTTGTTCTTCGATTAATATTATTAATCAATTGTTATTTATTAAATTTTCAGTGTTTGCAATGAAAATCAGTAGCTCTAATTAAAACTCAAATATCTTTGTTATGATCAAAATATCGCGCCAATGAATAGGACCGGCGCAATACAAACTACGCCATAGTGCAAACGATTATGGAACATTCTTACAAAATGAATAAAGAAGAACCACCTGTTTAGAGCTTCCACTGCACCAGGAATCACTGTATTATCAATATGCAGTGTTCCGCTAAGATCTATTAGTACTAGTCGTATCTGCTTCGCCATATTTTTTTATATTTTTGATAATGTGTTTCCCGTTTATTTTCAACCGAGGCTGTGACTACCGTGTTGCACACAGACGCATTTGTAGTACACATTCAACATGATTCAATTGATTGCGATTCACATCCAAAATAGTAAGGGGGCGTGGGGATTGTGTAGTCGCACGTGGGTTAACTATGGCGCTTTCCGTGAAACTGGAAGGCGTGAAACAAGTTCCATGGTTTTCACTGTAAATAATCGGAAATAATGAAAATACAGGTAATCCTCATGTAACACGGTAGTTAGGTTTCCATAAAGTCTCATCCAACGTGAAACCAGGTTACACGGCATGTTTTCTGTCAGAAATTGTAATGGTTACACAAACATCCTGCGAACTGCAATACACCTACCGGGTGTTAAAAGAAAAGTGTTTAGGATCTATGACTCACATAACAGTCAATGAACTGAATAATAAATATTTATTACAAATAAGATAATAAATCGACCCTTCTTTAAATTCTATAGAAATCATTCAATAGAAGTACTGTGTTACGTGAGAGCTACTTGTAACTATCTAATGCTTTTTTCATTTGATGTAGTTCATTTCATTAACCGTTACATTTATATTTACAGAACAGAATGGCATCAAGTGTACCAACAAGTCTATTCCAATGATACAGCTGAACAAACCAAAGCATATGAGATGCTACTTGCATGGAAAGCAAGGTAATAGCATGATATATTTTTAATGATATACGTTGAAATATGAGTGATATTAACAAATTGGTTTTAGGGTGCCAAAGCTGCCAGTAGGTGTTGACTGTACCCTCTCTATTATGCAAGTCTGTCTTAGAGATCGTGAATGGACACCTAAGATTAATAATGGGGATTTACCAATTAGTTATGAGAATGACTTGTGCCTGATGTATTCGACCACAATAATGAGATTCTTAAACCACATATCTAATATAGGACACACCAAGCAAACGTCCTTGTTTCAGATTGCAAAGCAGCTGAACATTCCAGAATGGATTGTGAATTTAAGGCACGACACTGCTCATGGACATGAATTGCCTTCCATTGGTGTGTTGCGAATAGCTATAAACATATTATTAACTTGGTTACACGTAAGTTCATTTCTGTACAACTTTTATATTACTTAAAATGAATGTAGAACGTGTTGAACTTATTTAATGTTGTATTTGAAGGAGGAATATTGGGCAGCTGAAGCCAAAAGAATGAAGGAATGTGTTATCACAAATGAGTCTGTAAAAGAAGCTCAGGAAACTGAAGAAGTACAGGAATTTAGTGATTTAATTGAACTCTGGACTGCTATTAGTTTGTACATTCATGCTGGATACTCTTTAGTAAGGGATATTCCAGATCCTGAATTGAAGTGCGTATAAATTTTGCTCATAATAAAATCGAAACATTTTGTTAATATTCATAAATTGATTCTGTTAATAGGGTAACAATACAAGATCTACATTCGTATGCTAGTTCCTTACCAGAACAAGATGAAGAAAATTTAGAAAACGATAACTATGCAGAATCTGCTACCAATAACATAAAGAAAGATGAGAAACACACATTGGTGACTGCAAGACTTATTCTTTTATCTGAAATCTCTAGATATCTAAACAAAAAGACTATTCCCAATAAGAAGGACGTAGTTTGCGATGTACTATTCAAGTCGGAAGCTTTCCTACCAAATGAAGATGTTTTACTTATTTTTGTTCAGGAGGAAAGCACTGGAAATGTATTAGGAAATGATCTCCTACCACTTGATATGCTGAACTTTTGGGAAGATATTATATCTTTATTATATGAAAAAAGGATAATGAAGACATTAATTTTGGGATTACTTAAATTAACAAACAATGAAGAAGCAGATAAACACAAAAAATTGTTAGCTTCTCTATGGATAAGTTCTTTATCTTACAGTTTTTTGAAATTGGATGTTGCTCATTGTATATCGCGAAGGTTAGAATGTGAGCTGCAACTGACCAATAGGAAATTACCACCAAAAGTGTTTGAACTTAAAGTGAAGGAGGAAGTAGAGAATACTTATCCTCATTTTAAACATGTATTATGGTTTAATTTATCCAATGTGGTGTTGCCTTGTTTAACAGATATAAATTTCCTTACAAAGCTTATATTAAATGTAAACGAATTCTCTATCAAATTCATAGTACCTCTTTTGGAACTAGCAGGACCTAGAATACATGAAAAAAAGAAGCAATTGTTGTTAAATTTAGTGAAAATCTATACAATAGGAGATACAACTGAAGATGAAAGTCTTAATGAGAATCAGAAAACATTTACATTAGAAGATGTTTATAACAAGCATGATGATTTTGTACTGAATGTAAATGACCAACAAAATAAATCTGAGGAGAGAACCTCTCGTTTCTTAGCTGATGGAAAGGTACGAAATACTCATTGGAAATTAGCATTCGGTAAGTACATGATACGTTTTCGTCTACTAATGGAGTTAACAATGGAAATGACGTAAGAATTGAAATTTTTTTTTAGGTAATTATAAATGGGCTGAATGTCCAATCGGTTTACTCCCATGGCGAATTGATTCCATGGAAATCTTAGAACCACTAAAGACTGTATCACGTCAACACAACATTTCAGCGTTAGAATCGGAAATTACTCCTGGAATTATAGATAGTAAAGCTTTAAAAATGCAAAGTCAAATAAATTGGGACGACGTTCTGCAGAAAAAGAAACGGTTAAAGCGAAAGCATGAACGAAGGACTGCGGATATTATAATAAATAGAGCTCTCGAGACTGCGAAAAAACAAAAATAGTGCATTTACATCAGTTTCGTGTTTTAAATATTATATTTTTAATTGGCAGTGTTTGTAAAAAGTATGAAAATAGGAAAAATGTAATTCAACAATGTATTTTTATAACTTAACAAATAAATTATATACTCCTATCTAAATTTCGTTAATTACTCGTTATCTAGTTTCAATTAATAAATATACATTTCGCGACATTGTACACTTATAATGTAACTTTACATTTGAACCTGTACATGCTTTTACAGATATCTACCCATATGTTAAAATAACAATTTCACATTGTTTGTATATCACGTATATAAATGTATAAAATAACAAGTAGATTTACAAGTTTCAACCAATTTGATTCCTATGAGATGTAACTCGTAAAATATGAATTTCTTTAATGCTTTGGTTGTTTTTTTTCACCGTACATATATAAACAGCAAGTACATTCTCAAAACAACAATTTTATGGAATATTCTTCCTGCCTAATTACAAAATTAAAAAAAATAGTCTCTCTTATTACTGGTATTAGTCTTCCTAAGCACCTCGGCAAGATGTTTACTAGTTTCTAAACCAAATATATCTAATGGTGGTCGATACATAGCTGCTATTCTGAAATAATAAAAAAAAATCAGATAGTATATAAACTTCATATACTATCATGTGTGTATCATATTTATTACCTTTCACCAGATATATTGCACAAAAATTTCCAATAAGACGGTCGTAAATTTTGTGGTTCCACAATTGCTACATGGAAGAGCAATGCTGTGCTAAAGCAGTACAAAACAATTACAAACCATTTCACCTCAGGTACTATTTGCTTTTCCACAAGATCGTTCCACAGTAACTGAAAGAAAAACGGAGTAATATAAAATAAAAACATGTTAATACATACTAATACTGTCGAATATTCTAAGCACGAGATTATTTATACAAGATACCTGCAATGCTTTCCACATAAAGTATAAAGCTATGGTATTACTACCGTAAAACATAAATGCTAGACCACCTATGAATCCAGCTGGAAATGCATAATACGATGAATCTTTCTGAAAGAGTCTCCTTAATGAACAAGACGCTAACTGAAATAAAAATTGAATTCGTATTCAATATATCATTTATAACTGACCTATAAACATGACTGTTTAACAGTATATGGTACAATGTAAAAAAATTGAGTTAATTTTTGCATGACCTCGGTGGTTTCATGTAAGAAAAAACTCAAAAAAATAAATAATTTCAAGAAACTGAAATTTCGTATCTCGGTTAATTTAAATATGGTGAGTGTGACGCATTCAACTCTATAGTCTTGTATAATCTGGATGAGGTGCTGTACGAGGTAAGGGGAACTTATTACGGAGCACCCCAACCGTAGACCGTGTTGGTGGTTGTTCCCCTTACCTCTTGACCCACCAGCATCCCAAGCAGTTCAGACGGGTGCACACGGTACATTTGCACCCGCTTTAGTGCACGCGTACTCGGCCAATACTAAACTGTCACGGAAATAGAACGTCTTGTGAAGGAATGTTATTCAAGGTTGTCGATTCATTTTTTTCGTACACCATAACCTTTTTAATCTATATTACTATTTATATAATACTATATTTAAGATTAAAAACTTTAATGTAAAAAAAGATAAAGATACCCTATAAATTCCTGCGAAACCACCTAAGAATACAGCCAAATTGAGGTTGCCTTTCTTAAAAATTACAGATTTAACTAACTGAGGAGTTCTAAGTAACTTTCTCATTTTTAAGACCAGATTGAGCGCTAACTGAGCACTAACTCCATAACTAAAAAGTTTTACACCACCCTGTAAATAAAAGTAATTACTGTTTAATGAATGTTCTCAGATTCTTAAATATGTTTAATGTTGTTTTTTTATGTGTGCACATACTGTTAATGTATAGTGAACACAACTATGAGGGTGTGGACAAGACATATGTTTTCCCAGATTCTTTAGTGTTTCAATAAGCCTTTTATAAACCGCAAGTGACTTTTGGAATATATCTTTTTCATCAGATCTTTTAGTCACAGAACGCTGTTTTTTACAACTCTCTACATCACTTGTGTCAGCAGAGCACATTAATGTGGACGATTGGGTGCTGTTTTCTTTCTCCTCGTATTTTCCAACAATAATTCTGATAAAAATTTTTAATAAATTTCACATTATTATAAAATTATACAAGCGATGAAAAATTCGAATAGGTACCTAAGTATCCTGTACATGGAGTCCTGTTTAATTGCTTTTGAACGGAAAAAATAAAGTAGCAATGCCATACTCAAAGCAAAAATATACGTATCTCCCCTTGGAATGGAAGAATAATATCCCCTGACTTCTCCCATTCTGAATAATGTTTCTGTAGCCTGAAAAACCACCAACATAGAATTAGTTTAATTCAGTCCAAATAGCCATATATCCAGCATATCTTATGACAGAGATTGGAGTGTATACATAATAATTATATGTATCACTGGAAAGCGTCGGATATTAAATTACAATGTGTAATCTGATCTACTCACAATGTTAGATACATATAAACACAGCATAGTACGTCGAGATGGTCTTTCAATCAGAATAGCAGTTAGACTAGATAAAAAGGATGGAACAAAGGATACTGTCAGAAGGTTGAATCTTCCCAGTATTCGTCTATAACATAAAGATCTTAATTAAATACTGACGAGTCATTTTTTTTTTGTTAGTGGAACTTAATCGATTTCATTGTAAGTAACTAATTTTGCACGAAATCGTTTTAGCAAGTCATACCTATGAAATCGGAATTGACTTTTTCGTACCTCAGGAAGCAAATGAACATAGAATAAGAAAAGGCACTCCACGAGAGAAAAGCTGTTGACTGTAGAATACCAGACAATGTTTTCCTGACATCTTCCTTAGAAGGTATTTTTCCTCTCATTAAAAGTGTAACCTAAAACAAAGGGTAATAAAACGGAAAATGATGGCACATCTTGTCATTTGGAGCGTTAAAAATGCGGCGAGTCATCGTAAAAGTAAAAGTTAAAAAGTGATCGGTACGTCAACTGACTAGTATAATTCAAATCCTGCGATATGTTACTTTCCAATGACCGTTACGAATTACGATTAAATCAATCGTAAAATATAAGCTACTAATACTTGAATACCTTTCTCTATCGAATAACTGAAAAAAATTGACTGTGCAAAGCAGTCGTTTTTGTAATAATGATCCATAAGAGAAACCTACTTGCGTAAGCGATGGAATATCATGACCTTACAACCGTTGGATTCACACGAGACAGAAAAATGTTCTATCCAGGAGAGAAAAGAAAAAGGGTGAAACGTACTAAATAAACGATGGAGTATATCCTGAGACTCTCTTGAAGAGCATGCAAGCCGAGACCGGCTGTCGTGTTGATACACGAATCGGTCCAAGGATGCGCGTACTCCTTGCATGTCGCATCGAGAAAAAACTTGCTCAGTTGAGAAGGCATCTTACGACTATTAACGAACAGGACTTTCACACTTTCTAATCACTAAACGTCAATCTGTCCGGCGCGCGTCGCATGAAAGGAAAACCTTCGGTTGACACTTTTCTTGTCACCGTTTTATTGGACGTCGCGCGTTAGTGGGAAGCGGTTTGTCGATCTCATTTTTTTGTTTTTACTGGTTGGAACGTCAATTTAGAATTACGCAATGGTGATCCCGTGGAGGGTGATTGTATCAATTATCGGATAATACTGGCACTGGATTAGATAAACGTGTTTTTCGGTTTCTCGATGCTGATAATTATAAAAACGCTGGTGTCTGTCTCTCTGTTGTGGCACACGAATTACTTTCGCAGTGAAACTCTCACTATCAGTGCTCCGAACAATAAACGCGTGCAGACTCGACGAGCGCTCATCACCTACTGAAGCGGCGCCTGATGCGAGAACCGGCTCTCGCTGTCAAACGACCTTAATACATTGCAGTCGAAGGTTATTCCAATGAAAATTTATTCGAATAAATATTTGCTCGAATTTTCGTCGAGTAAGAAACATGTTTTTTTTTTAAAGAGATATTACGGGGACTTGCATTTGATTGTTTTTCTAAAAGTATTCGAACGCTTCGCAAATTCGTAATCTTATTTTCAATCGAATATCACCGAATCTTAATATTCGATGTCAGTATGGAATGAAAAAGTACACAGGTGTCTTGTAATCTCATCACAGAAATGGATATCGAATACACGAGTATATGTGTGAAATACTGAATGTACAAGTGCGTGTAGAATACTCTTATTCAGCTTTGTCGTCAATAAACAAAATGTTACAGAGTAAATCATATTAAATTATACAGTGAATTGTCGATTCATCTAATCTAAACGTTGTTATTGCTAATGTCGCTAGTCTATCTAAACTTAGTTGACGTGTCCATAAATAATAGAGAAAAACAAACAGGATTTGCAATGCAAATATTCCTTTCTTGTTACCTACTCGATAGAATGTAAATGTTCGCAATTCTTTGTAAAAAATATTTAATGATTCTATCGATTTCTTGTATACGGAATACAAGCGAATCTGAGCATGGATTTCATTGTCGCAGAATACATGCAAGGTCACTTGTATCTATTTGTATACTTGACGCGGATACATGGTTACCTCAAATGCATCTCAACTAGATATAATTTGTATGCGTGTTCACCTCTGCTGGCTAAACAAACAGTTCCGTCGTCAACAGCAGAGAGCCGCTATCTCATGAATTGTTTATCATACTTCACGCTTCTCATTCTCTCACCCAGAGATGCGTGTACAATATATGTATGTATACGGCAGCAGGCAGATTTGGCATTCTATAACAAAATATTAACAAATAATTTTAACGAATAGGATCGTGTTGTTGTCACAAATAAATTCTGACGTTCCTGTCGTCACTGGAAATCAAATTTGCCCGATTCTGTAGCCGAATCGAATCAATCACGCACTGATGACCGTTATTTAAACCAGGGACTTAAACCGGTATGATTTTGATAGCGATATTATGCCATCAAAGCTATACCGAAACTGATATATTATCGAAAAACGAAATAATTACCGGAATTTTTTCGGTTTCTATAAGGGTAGGGTTTATATAGGGTTGTATAGAGCGAAGGTTCAACTGAAAATACCGATATAATACCAGTATAATACCGATATTTTACGTTTCGGTAGAAGTCCCTGAGTTAAACGCATGGCGGCCCATGATTGCCTATGATAGATGCCACGAAACGGTAGACGATGAATTTAGGATTGAACAGTGAGTCGGAACAGGTGTGATATTTTGGTTCATTCGTGCTCAAACTCCGTTTTTGTGAAATGAAAATCCAGTTTCAATATCGGCCATGGTGTGTGCACGTGTGGTACATATATGTGTGCACGAAAGAAGACTGGTCCACAGCGTGATGGGCGTCACGTGACGAGGGGAACGTACTCCCCACTATCGGCGAAGCCGTGAAGCATTCCCCTGACCGCAGGGAACCCCTTGACCATCTAAAACCGTACCCGAGTGCATGCACACCCGTGACGTTGAAAACACGAAGGTCCTACCGTATATTCGCACGAAAAAAAATGAGCGTAAATGCGTACATCACGTGAAAGATAAATATTGTTCGGATCAAAAAGAACTGAAGGCCACGAACGATAGATAAGAAATTATGGTTGTTTACTATATACGTTTGAATGAATTGTGAAACACGGTCATTGCTCTCGAATGAGATTCTATTCGTCTCTGTTCTCGTCAGATTTGAATTTTTTCGACGTTGGATCCATACTCGGTGTTAACGTAGCCCTTTGAACTGGAATTTTGGTACAGTGATGGATGTTTCTAAGTACTTGTTGAGAAGAATAGAAGTTTTAAGAGAGTCGGATTGAATATGTTTTGATACAGGACAACGTGTTGCACAAGTCACTATTGGAATGCAAATTTTTGATGATCTGTCGATATTGATAATGAATATTTATGAATTCTCATGGATATTGATAAACGAGGACTATTGTGGTACATATTTACGATAATGCATTTAAATTTAAATCAATTTGATGTGTGGTAATTGTATTTTATATATTCCATTTGGGGTTCATAAATTAAGGTGACATTAGGGTGTATGACGATTAAAACAGTCATTGAGGATCGAATATGCAGTAAACTTTGAAGGCAATCAATTGGAGGATATAATAAGAACCAGTTTGATTTGTTATCATTCTATAAACTACTTTGCACGGTAGTAACTGCAGTTCAGTGCTCTTCCCCCTCAAGTTCGCAGTAACGGTAAGTACGGAAGTGCATCCAGAAAATGATGGTATCTTGCAAATCATACGCCGATGTATGTATGTACTTGTAATAGACACGACGGATCTTTTATTAAAATCATTGTTTATTGGTAAAGTCTAAAGTGTCTCAGTTCGTACGAATTGTTTGAACGACACTCATCGTAGCTATTCGTCATTTCGAACATGACAGGATCACGGTGCATCATCTGGCAACTCGTGGATCGCCTTATCAAATTCTTCGAGTGAAGTGTGTACATACACAATCGGTAAGAAGAAGTGTTTGTACATACTCATGTTTCGAAAAGAATTTAATAAGTTCTTAAATTATCCATTAAAGATTTCTATTTGTTTATTTTCAATTTTAATAAGCTTTTAAACTATTTGTTTTTCAACACACATATAACCAAATATTATACACAAAGTGCTGGGACGAAATGTTTTTTTTGTAGATCCAACTGAATAAATATTGATAATCGCTTCTTCCCAGATAGCACATGACGCCTTGAAGACGGCTTAAAGACGCGTCATATATGCCGCGAGGATATCAGTTTCTATTAGAAAGTAACTACCAAGTGGTTGCGCATTTAAAGTGAAATATGCGTATATGTAGATTTGTGGAATACGTGATGCCGCGTAAATTTGACCGATAAATATAAAGAACAAAGGTCGAAAGACGATGAATATATTATTCATGGCAACAACTTGCAATAATGTTTAAGTGAAAAATAGAGTTTTGTAGGTATTAAATTGAGCCCTTGAATGAATTGAAATGGATGTTTCGAGCTAACCCAAATGCATGGATCTTGCCCGAGCAGGTTTTACTTTCGCGCTCCAAAGTTCAGGCGATTGGTGACCCGCTACGTTTTGTTGCATGATCGATCACTGATAATGTTTACTTCGGTAGATGCACAATCGTGGCAACATTGTTTAGAAACAGGATTTAATTTTATAAAAGAATTGAGCAATAAATGAAATGTTTGCTAGAACAATTTCCAATACTCAGTGGCCATGAAATAAGTTGCTGCGACCTTTCCAGAAACAACAGCGGAAACTTTAGATCGTGCAGCATTTAATATCTGATTGGTGGTTTAAGATTTGATAAAAGGATATATGTATTAGCTGTTTCAGAGATTAGAAGGAAAGGTGTATAATAGGCGACAAAAATCGAGATTGATGAAAGGATAAGGAAACTAAAAAACCTAAAACTTACAAAGTTTGTTCTTGGCTTCTTCGTTTTCTATAGTTTGTAATACAAATGTTTTCTGTGAAATAATTAAAAATTAGTAAATAAGATTAGAAAAGTTAATAAAACTGGAAATTTAGAAATAGGTTACTCGATGATTGAACAAATTGCAAGTATAATTTTCACGTCGACTAAATAGTAAATATTGTTAAATGTAATATAAATTATTAATACTATGCAGATCATTGCTTTTTTGCATTACGTAACTGTATTTTTATCAAATCAATGTCAGTATGCAAACATATCATTCAAATTATCCATATAAAATGTATTCTAGGAAGATATTGTTTCTAACATCCAGGATCGATTGTTTACTGTAATTATTATTAAAATAACATGAGAAAGAAGTGACCAATGTTAAGATAGTGTTGCGGTTGTCTCTGTACTGTGAAGAAGAAATTCTTGATATCAACATGATATACTCATGTATTAACACCTTCTCTACTTTACTTATGCATCCCAAGACAAAACAAACAATCTGTACAAAAAAACGAATAAAAAATAGAAGACATAAATATATGAAAATGTAAAAATACATTAATACTGTCACGCTTTACGAATTCGCGAACGATCCGCGTAACGGTATACCTACCGCCATCTTTGAGCCATTCGAGGAAGTCTTACCCAAAAGACAGCGCAAATTGTAAAATCGCGGGGTTATATCATGTATACAATTTACAACAATTCAAACAACTGCAAAAAGTCGAAAACTCTTTCATTAATTACATACACACATTGTCATTGACCATTAAAAATATTGTTCGTTTGGATGAGGTGATAATGGTGGATCAATAAATTGTAATCTTACTGATACGATTACGTCATTCGGAGTATATATTTCGTTAGTTTTTCGGGTGATTATGCGATGTAATATTGACACTGATCGGTGGGAGACGAATTATTATAATTGGCAGCAAGTGATCGAAACTTAGTTCCGGTAAGGATCTACATACATTGGTCTACCTGGCCCGTAGATCATTCGAGAGGATCCTACACGCTCGGAAACACTGTGTGTATCAGATAAGGGGGTGACACAATTATGTTTGAATTGTGATTGGCCGGGGTCCCGAATAGGTAGTTTTCCGCGTCTGATGAACAATATAATTTGTCAGTCGCATTTTCGCTGGCGACGACGCGCGGCGTCGGTATATAAGACACGCCGAAAAAACACAGTGTATTAAACGGTGTACACAATCCGTGGTGAGACAATATCGTTGGCGTCGTTTGATATCCATCGTTGCATCAGGGAACAACAGTCTGGACGCATCTTGGGTGCAGTATGTAAAACGAGTGAGTATGAATTTATTTTTTTTAGTAATTAAGTAATTATTATATTTTGTATTTATTCATCGATTTATGCGTTTAATGGGCGGAAATTCGGGCCTTGTGAATTGAATTAATAAATAAATGAAAATAGGGTAGGAACCCCGGAAGGGATCGTAACACTGTTTCGAATTATTGTATATTTCTTAAATTTTTATTTCATGTGTAATTTGGAATTGTGGATTATGTTGTCGGTATGATAGAATTTTTATTCGAGTAAATGAATTGTACTTTTATGGAAAATAGTGTTTGCAATCTATTGGTATCTAATTTTAATTAACAAACAGTGCCTGTTGCATCATATGAATAATAAATCAGACTAAAAATAAAATCACATATACAGTGGAGTCCGATTATTGCGCACCGCTTATAACAGCAGACCGCATATTGCATCCGACTTGCTCTCTAAGTTCGGTTCCCATACACATTACTTTATATATATTTTCATTCTGCTTATAACAACATTCGTTCACAACGGCGTAATTTCTTTGTCCCTTGAATGTCGCTATAAACGGACTCCACTGTAATGTGAATATATTAAAAATCGAATGAACAAGTTATTCTTATTTCAACAATTATTAATAGACAACAAGCCTATTTTTATTTATTGACGTTAGACCGAGACACTACAATTTTTATCTGTTTCTTTTCTAAAAATCCACGACCATCGTGTTACGCGTGTACATAAGAAGAAACTGTGAGATATAAAATAATTTCACAGTGCTAAGATTCATTTGATTATAGGTAGATTATACGAAGTCTGATGATTACGATTAGATATATAATAATTTGTTTTTAAGTCCGTACTTTTCTTCCATCGCTCAACACTAATAATGCATCATTATTTACCAATTAAAAAGTGAACGACTTGATAAATTACCTGAATATTAAATATATTGTTCGCACGAGTTTCCAGTCGGTTCACCCAACAGTCTCTTTTTTTTTTTTTCATATTGTACATACGATGTATAAAGTTCTCAGATTTTTCAATCGATCCGTGATTTTTGTATCATTGCAATGTTATTACAGGTCATCGTCACGAGTATCATTTGCATCCACTGATCGTTTATTGATCCGAAAGAAAACTGTACAAAAGAAAGGAATAATTACAATGACCACGGGGCTGAAGACAATGGAATTTCTGAAATTAAGCCGACGTGTTCGGCGACGGCTGAACGCACGGAACGGTGAGTAACCGAACGACAAATATTGTCACCGTTCAATCCGGATCGCGATGTTATCAAACGACTCGTGATAACGGGCCGAAACGTGATTCTGCTTAATCAATTTCTAAGACCTTCCGCACGTGATACTTGTTTATGTCGTATAATCGTACCGTTAGCTTGGCGTTCATCTTAAATAGAAACACGAGCAGAAATGAATCGCGAATAATTATGAAACACTCGCGATAATATTTCCTCCGTTGTATGAACTTCTCGTTATCCGAACGATCTATTGTCGTTTAAACGGAAATAGTCAAACTGTTGTTTGGTAATCGGAAGAATTCGTTGAAAATCATGATAATGATCATCGTTAAAGAACTTCCGTCGTTCAGCGAATTGGATACTATATATTAAAAGTCATTGTATCTAGTTCCAAACAATTAGAGCATTATATAATCAATGGAATGTATCGTAGACTGATGATATGGAAACGTTAGAACGTAGACCATCCACTCGAGGAAACTAATTACATTTCATACAAATTGAGACAGACGTACCTTACGACTTAATCATGTTACTCCACATACAAATTGTCACTGGAACTACCAAACCCATCAAAATGACGGATTGCAGATTTTTTTTTATTTTATGATCACTGTTATTATAATAGCGCCGTTGACGGAATTTATGTTTGCTTTTAGTTTATTTTTATCTTACTCTGTGTATTATGTTAAATTGTACTATATAGGGTGTTCCGGTCAAAACAGGCCATCATACGAGAAATATTTTTGGTGTAATTTAAATGGTTTCAAGAGACGAATCAGGCAGTGGAAAAAATTATATAAGTGAATTAAAAATTTTGCAAGGTCATTTCAAGGTCATACTACTATACATGTATAAATGCAAAATAATGTTGGTTATAACATACAACAGGAAAAATGATGTGTAAAGACCATTGAAAAATGACACTTATAAAAAATTGATGCTGCCATCTGACTCGTATCTTGAAACCATTTAAATTACGTCAAAAATATTTCTCGTATGATCACAGATAAAGTAGATATTTAGGTGACCTGTTTTAAGCGGAACATCCCGTATATTATGTACATTACTATATTGTAGCGCTATAATGCTGGTACATCTAGTGTAAAGGGCATCACTAATAATCGATAAATTGGTTGGTTGATCAGTTATATCCAAGTCCAATCGATTTTAAATACACCGCTCAGCTGTAATCACGAATAAGAGAAACGTAGTTGAAAAGTAAAAAAGTAAAGTTCAGAGTTTCAAATCGCTAAATAAATTTGCCACTTACTATGTTACCTACGCAATGACATGTAATTAGACCCCATTCCCTTCTGCCTTACAATGCAGATTAAAGTGACGTTCGGTCATTTTGCAAAGTATGCAATATTTACTTCAAATATAAACATCGAAATTCGATACACGGTTAATTCCGTGGGCGAAATCAAGTGAACCCCTGTTCACGTGATTGGAGGTCCCATCTATCTCCGTGTCCAAGTTCGAACTGATTTGAGTAGAAATTACGTAACACCCTCCTTGTTCGGTAAACCGCACGGGACAAACGATTTCATACACGACCATTCTAGAATTTCTACCTGTTTAAAACCACGACGCAATGAATCACACAATTCTCTCGTATATCATTCGTAAAACGACTGTAAATGTCGGAACCAATTCACCCGGGGTTAACCGTAAAATCGTAAATGCGATTTATCGCGCGCATTCTTCGTCCGTCCATAAATGTACGCGGAATGAACGTACATGTTGAGATGCCCCTTATCTTGTGTACGATTACATAAAAATGAAAGAAAAAAACGAAATAGAAAACTACTGGAATAATCTCCCGTCGAGAATGAAGCGCGAATAAAGGAGAGCCCAGTAATGGCGAACTCTTATGAAAATGTTCCGATCGAACCGCGGTCGTCCCCTATTGCACCGTGCAGATTAGAAACTTATAGAGCTCCGATTAGAAGCAGCGAGCTTTTAAATCCATCGTTTCCTCGGTCGTATGTGTGTTTCCGATTGCATCGAAGTCTTTGATAGTTACTCGTGACGTTTTATTGGAGAAGCTTGGACATCGAAACGCTTCGGAATTGAATTCGTTGCATCGATCATCGTGAGTGGGATCAGTGGAGTTGAGTTTAACCGTGATTTATAAGAAAATTTAGTTCGTAGGATCGGAGACGTTTTTGTTGATGTTTGTTCGTTAAATCGTATGGTTTTTGCACAGTGAGCGATCACCTTCTCGCTGACGTCGAGGAACAAAAGAAAAGGGTATCGCTGAAAATTAACACCAAGATGCTGAAGATCGGTTTCATTGGAGGCGGCAAGATGGCTCAGGCTCTGGCCAAGGGATTCATTCGTGCTGGTAAAAAATAATACTGACAATAACGACGTAATTAGATTTTCTTAGGTTGGTGGGAATAAATCTCTGGTCGACTTTTATATCTTTGAATTGTTATATTTTTGTACGTACTTCAATTATTTCGATCGAGATTGCGGTCATCGCGATATACTTCGATTTTGCAGTCTGATCTCGAAGCGACCGTCATGCCTATTTGCATATCTTTTTGATACCTTTTTTCGGTTCAGAAGTCGGAACGATCACTAAACTTTTTCACGTTATCCGTGACTGTTTAATTTATACCACGAGTGTCTTGAATTTTCAAAACGTATTTTGCAGGATTGAGCAAGGGCGAGATGATGCTGGCCAGTTGCTTACCGAACGACGTGGGCAGCATAGACGCGTTCAAGGTGAGTTCGGGTTTCGCGAAACCGTGAAAAATAAAATGTATATTTCCCCATTTTTATTGTCCCGGGGATTATTTTGTCGCCGTTGCATTCCTCGTGTACGCAGATAAACGCGATAAAAGATAATCAGCCGATTGTCGGCGTGTTATCAGTCGCGCGGTTTGCCTCGAAAAAACATCAAAGCAACAAATATTTTCCATGTAGTTAGCAAACTGATCCGCGACACGATCGATTATTTATTACCGCATCTTGTTCACCGACAGCGCCTTATTAATTTCAAGTTGATTACCAACCGATATATACAATTTGATGGTTTTTGTTGATCAGCTAATCGATGATGTGTAATCGATTAATGGCCATCGTCACGTCAATGATTTTACGATACCGTATCGGAATATCAAATCGATCCCCATTAACCGTTTTCTTGGTTATTACCGAAAGAACCGATTACCGTTCGATAAGGTACGTGTCCTCGTGTTTACAGATTTTTAAGTCATCGAATTAATACCTCGTTGGTTACCCGATTGTTATTTCTCGGGCGATTAGCGTGCCTAGGAAATTTACCAATACCGTGTTCCCCCTTATCTTCGTCGGACGATAAGTCTACGACTTGTGTTGCAAGTCTTGCGGATTTTACTTTATCTGGAAAATTTTCAGTTTGCCGATGCAACGGTTCTGGTTCGCTCAAAATTCCGACATTTTTATGCCCCATTTTTTATGTCAACAATCATTACCGTATTTCAGGAAATGGGCTCGAACACCGTGCCTACAAACGGACCGGTTATCGACCACGGTGACGTTCTGATTCTATCCGTGAAACCGCAAGTGGTACCGAAGATACTTCCGGAATTGAAACATTACAATAAACTTTTGCTGTCGATCGCGATGGGCATACCAATAGCGTCGTTGGAAAAGGTATACGTAATTGACAACTTAGATTAGTCTTAACAGATTCCACAGTATTGTACATAATTTAGAATTATGCAGTTATAATATAAGAATTCGTTTTTAACACTCGTACAACGAATGCAGGGTCATTTTGATCCATCGGTGGTTGCAATATTCTTTGTAATTATATCTAAATGTAACATATAAACATGAAAATATACATAAAATTTTGCGCATAAGTCCTTCTTGAAACCAACGTACAATGGAAATTCTACTATTAGTCAAATTGACCTTGCATTCTTCAGCCACATCAGTCCTAGACCATTCGTCTTCCGAGGGTTAAGACGCCTGGAGGTGGATGGATCATTCAATTGTCTATATAAACGCATAATTTAAAGGTGGTATATTTAAATGTTCATTGTTAACTCTAGGGTTTGCCTGAAGGAACGCCAGTGATAAGGGTAATGCCCAACACACCAGTTCTCGTTGGTTGCGGAGCGACCGTGTACGCACGTGGAAAGCACGCGGGAGATAAGGAAGCAGAAATAGCAGAGAAATTGTTTTCTGCCGTAGGTTTGTGCGAGGAAGTACCTGAAAACCTGATCGACCCTGTTACTGCTTTGGCTGGTTCTGGGCCCGCCTATGTAAGCACAACGAATGGTTTATAAGATTTCGTAGATTTACAAAAATATTAAAAATAAACGAACACATTTTTTATTTACTTATTTATAAAAGATTGTCTTATTTTCCTTTTAGGTATATATGATGATAGAAGCTTTGGCTGACGGTGGTGTCAAAATGGGCCTCATGAGGCCAATCGCCTACAAGTTGGCTGCGCAGACTGTTCTTGGTGCTGGTGCCATGGTTATGGAGACTAAGACTCATCCAGGACAACTGAAAGACGACGTAGCTTCCCCAGCAGGTTGGAACGAAAATAATCGATTCTGTTCTATAAATACTTTCATTGTTCTTTACATTTTCTAATTATTGCTTCAACTGTTTGCATTTAGGATCTACTATAACAGGAATTCATTATCTGGAAGAACATGGTTTAAGATCAGCGGTAATCGGTGCGGTTGAGGCAGCAACAAAGAGATGCAGAGAAGTTAGCGCACTTTCAGACAACAGTTAGAATTGTCAATATTTACAATAGAAAATTGGCAATATTTAAGGCAGCAACGAGAGGGAATTGAAAAGTGGTAGTTGTAGTTATAGAATGAATATGAAGTCATAGTGATAACGCGCGTTCTAACTTTAAGATATTTCTTGTATATTTTGTAAATAATTTCACTGAATTTGGTCTTTATTGTTCATTTAAAGCGTAGCAATTAAAAATATAGATCTGTTAATTTTTTGTTTTTGACAATGACATATTTTTTTTTAATTATTTTACGATGTATAAAAATGTTGTGTGTAAATATTTTGTATGTTTTGTAATAACATCTATATGCTTATATGTTTGCGCATATTTGAATGGATGTGTGAAACTATGTCAAAAGTTTATTCAGTGTAAATTTTATAATAATAAACCTTAAACAAATTGTGTAAAGTACAATATAAAATATAATCTTATGTAACATCATACATATATTAGTTATATATACATACATTTGTTGAAGCATCAACCAAAGCACCTACAGGACATAGGAATTACAAAAAAGGTTAAACAATTAATTAACAAAGAATAATAAAACTTTGTTGTACACAACTGATATAAATTTCTCTTTACCTCTATTATTCTGATGTGTACAATAGAATGGTTCACATGATAAAGACTCTTCTTGATTTCCATGCATGTATCGTTCATCAAACAAAGATCCTGTTTCTTTTCTTATCATACGACTGTCATGATTACATGAATTTATGACAGTCACGTTTTGTTCCATTGTTATTTATTATTGTCACATTATCTGTTATTTAGAAATATTTGAAGCATTCATTTGATATACATATATGTATAATTGTATAAGTATATATTGTAATGTAAACAATAAAAATTATTTTCATTTTGTTTGTCATAATTGGTGTCAACACTTTTCACACAGTAGATGGAACAAGAAATTGTTTATACACATTAATACGTATTGAAATATCTTTTAGGTTAAGGTTACATTTTCTTGATTTAACATTATTTTACAGTAAGTTGTTATGCAAAAAGTTCAATAACGCAATGAGTATAACATACAGAATTCTAAAAATTAAAAAGCAGGGAAGAACGAAAAAATTAAATTAAGATAAAAAACTGATGTTCAAATACAAGAAAAAATGAATGAAACAACTATCCATCTTACAAATGGTAAAACGTGATTTCATGTCAGTCTCAGCAATAAAGCGTGAAATAAATACTTTATTTTAATAAAAATATATTATCCATGTTCTCCTAGTCCTGGAAGAATAAGCATTCAATTTAAATTTTCCCGCGTTTGAGAAGAAAGGTGGCAGCACCATTTAGGAAACGAACTACCATTTGATCGTTAGAAACCGCAACGCGGCTGGGAGTAGAAGGCTGCCGTGTCCTCCTTGAAAATAGTGAAAAATGGTAAGAAAAACAACATTAATTTATGTTAAAAACGTCATAAACGTGAAATATTCTTACTCTAGTATCGTTTGATTCAATAATTAATACATTATCTATAAAGCAAATGTTTAAAAGTATTTCCTAAATTTCTCGTCCTGCTTGGTCTTGAAATCCGATTCTCTAACTTGAATTTCAAGATGATTAACAATAAACTGATGTAAATTAATAGACAAGTAATATACGAATATGTAATTTTACTTAATGTCAATCATGGAACATGTAGTCATAAACAATGATAATTTCGTATACATTACAAAAATCATCTTCAAGAAATTGAATAACGGTAAAGGACGACAATAATTGATGAATTTTTGTAGCAAGTTCTCTTAATAATGCATCAATCTCTAAAGTAACTAATTATTCCATTATAACAATGCATCGTAGTGTCAGTTGGCATCATAAGTAGTACGTTAATTAACAGTACTGCTAACATGTTTCATCAAAAATTATTCCGAATACTTTCTGGTACAAAACCATGTGAAGTAACGGAATAGAATTTGAAGTTGACGATTCGAGAATCGAATCATCTCGATAGTACAATTTAAGACGAAGTTTCGCAGCGCTCCGCAAGATGGCGCATGCAGTTCAAATATAAATGATCTCATTCGTGTTTGACATTTTTCCAGAAACGATCGGCGAGTAAGCGTCCGGTGCTAAAAGTGCAATGCGTGGTGCATGTAAACAAAAGTGCGTCGAGTGTCAGTGTGATGTTCGGCAACGGTGACGCAAGTCTGTAATAGATGTTAATTTGGTCAAACGATCCAGTGGACGTCGCCGCCAACGATTGTCTTCGTCAGAGATTGCAGCGTGTGTCTTCTTCGGTGAGTGACCCTTATAGGTTACCTATCAATTTACCAATGATTCTCGTATTTGCTTCGATGATCTAACGCGTTAACAGTGTCTGGTGTCATTATTTATCCGTTCGACCGTACTGGCAGTGATTACACGGTCCAGAATTCACGATACACCAACATTTCTCTCGAGCGTCATTGAGTTCGATATCAATCAGAACCTAACTTTATTGACTTATCATGGAAATTTGACACGAGCCTTGACAGTCGCCTAGATTACGTGTATCCGCTATTTCCATAAATGATTTTATAGCAGTCTCCCATATCGACAGAATCGGTCGATCAATTTTGTAGTTTGGCTTCGAATGATTTATCGAGTTGTCTTGTTTCTGGAGTATTTTCAAGGTTAAATGTTCGCGTGATCCTTTCTTTAAATTGAATGACTTTTTTTTAGACTAGTTACATACCTTGTTTTATTAGAAAATTTTTACTTCATTGTATGTTTATTTATTCGGTGTACTAGTAAGGACCTCATCATTTTTATAATTTTTAATAATTTTTTAATTTTGTATTCGGTAAAGCGGTAGAAATATTGCTAAGGTAGTTAATGTTTCTAATACCCGTTGAAGTTGATATATAGTTAATATAGTAAAACATATTAGCTTACTGATTGGTATACTTAATAGACATATACGCCATGTTCCTTCATTTGATTCATTTCTAATTATTATTCATTTTTTTATGATGTGTTTGAATAAACATACATATAATTAGAATAAAGAATATAGAATTTCGAAGTTTCTACGTATAAAAAAAAATTTGTAGCATTCAGGTGATGGAATGAATATTGTAAATACGTGTGTATAGTATGCCTAGTGTATATCATGTATCATTGTGGACAAGTGACCTTGATAGGTTTACCATGGTGAACTGTAGGTTGTTTACATTTTAGTGGTGAATTTTCGTATCGCCTTCGATAGCTCAGTTGGTAGAGCGGTGGACTGTAGTTGGTTGATATTTGAGAGACATCCATAGGTCGCTGGTTCAAATCCGGCTCGAAGGAATCAATTTTTTTATTTAAAAAATTTTTATTTTCGCCATTTTGGTTTGGTCGTCTATGTTGTTGTTGTTTTTTTTATAACATCATCAACGCAATTAAATTACATAATAATATAACAAAATCATTCAAAAGTAATCAGATATACACAGTATTAGCGTGGTGAAAATTTGTGTTCTCTTTTCGTAATTTACCTACTCATTTTTTAATTTTATTTCCATTTAACGCTGCTCCGTGCAAGTCAAGTACTTGCTGCCCTCTGGAAGTGCAGTTGCATATCAGGGTGCAAGCTGTTGATAATGCAGACCACATTGAATATAAAGGGTGTGACAGGACTATATCACTAAATAAACAAAATACGAATAAATAAATATTAATAAATAAACAATGAATATAAAAAGTCTGAGAATCGAAGGTTTCAATTAATCATTATAAAAAGATGAACATGAACACGGATGACTATCGAATCAAATTAGGTTGCTTGTCCATTTACAGTAAAGTGTCGGGGTCATCGGTGACCCCCATGGTATTGATCGTTCTATGTATAATAAATTTCCGTATTTAGTTTACGTTGTACAAATGAAGACAATTTGAATAAAATTTACAATGCATTTTATCATCGTTATTTATTCGCTGATAGAAGAAAAAAGGCAGAAATATATACTAGAAATGAATGAAAACGCGAGGGAACATGGAATGAATTTCTGGTATGATCGAGCAGATTACTCGCGAGACACATCACTGATACACTAGGCCGCCCCGCGTTCACGTTAATTTATCGTCGATCCCCTCTAATCGTCCTCCGTAATTTATTACTACTCTGTTCATATTTATTGGCGGCCCGGCGGGCGCATTGTACACGACGAAATTGCTTATATTGTCGGCCGGCCCCGATGGGGATCGCAATAAATTATTCCCTCGCGAAGGTGTGATACCTGACGCGCACCTGATAGATTGCAATTGTGGCCGAAGATGATTTGATGGCACTTTCTGTCGCGCTTTGTACATACTGGCCGTTCGTGGACCATAAATCTCCGCGAACGATGACAATACTAAACGGGCCAGTCTTATCGGGCCCGATATTACGTTCAGAACGTTTCCTGTATCAATAAATACTTCGAACATTTTGAAATATAAACGTAAATACCGCGAAACGTGTGACCGGATGACCCTTATTAATTAGCCGCGGTTAGTTGAACATCCGAATGGTAGAAAATGATTGATTTTAGAGGTTGCTATAAATATCAAATATTTGCATATCGTGTATATCTGGAAGCTTCGAGGGACCTAAAATGTGTCATCTGTCAGTGAACGGGCACACAAGGGGTCATCCCGTGTAGCGAAAACTGGTTTCTGTGCGACTAGTAACACAGACTAATAAATAAGAGTCAAACCAGTCTTACAAGCCTGGTTTGCTGGGAGGTCAATGGTTGGCCTTGAAGATCGTAGCAAAGGTTAGACTGTCGCCGTTTGTTCGATTTACAACAGCGGTGGGCAAAGTTGGCTCCTGGGAGCTAAAAACTGTCCCCACCACCATGGCAAAAGAACAGTTGGAATATTGAATTTGCCCCGCCCATTCGGGGCGTAGCTTCTCTACATTAACAATATTAACATTATTTTAATTACTGCTTGTTCCTGGAAATAATTCCGACGATCCTACTTTAACCAGTACCTGTTCCTCGAAGTGAATAAGACAGATCAGTCTACGAAATCGTATTTTCTAGATCGGATTATGTCCCCTTGTGTCCCGTTTGCTCCGCCCACGTGGGCGTGGCTTCGACTCGCGGCAAAACGCTACCGATTCTCCGCCTTCCAATATCAGAAAGGGGCGGCAAGATATTTCAAGTGTGAGCCGCACAACAAAATCATTAAAAATTGACAATAGTCGTCTTATCGGTACACCTAATAATATTCAGCAGAAAATGACATTCTTTATCCCACGAATATTATGGCTCCGTTTACTGGCAATGATTCACCTCCCGAAAATCAAGAGTGGGGTGGTCGCTTTTCATCAAAGTCCGTTCCCCTCCGTTCGTCCGTCGACAAACGTGTTCCACGAATGAATTACCATCGACGCGCGCGTTATAAGCACCGCGAATAATTAATAATTCATAGGAAAACACGGCCCGTTTTAATTCCAATGAAAACCTCCCTCGATCGTTTTCTCCCTCCCCCTCTCTCGGGGTGGGAGAGGAATTAATTCGGCGTTAATATCGGGACAAAAGGGCGCAAAGGTGAGGCCCGGTGAAAATATCGTCGGGGGGGAGGGTGGGGGGTGCAGAGTGACCAGGGGAGGACCTAATCGGGCGTGAAACTCGCGACACCTCCGCGGTACAACCACGGAAAACCGCAGGGGCGCGGGATTTTCCCGTTCGGGATTTCCTCCTGGTGTCGATCGACGGCGGTGGCGATCGTGTTCCGCTCGGGTAATCGTCGCCACCGACAAAGCCACCACGCGAAACGCGATTATTGTTATTCAAATGCACGAAAAGCTACGGTCAACAATGGCCTCGATCAATTGGCGGAGCATCGGAATTCCGGGCTAGAGCCGCTAGAGGATGGGGGAGGGGAAGGGGGGGGGGGAGCGAATCGTTAGACTCGTGGCGGAACGACTCCGCCCAGGGGTAATGCGGTGGTCCACACTGCTGATGCCTCTCTCACTCTCTGTCTCTGTGGTTCAGTCAGCGAAAGAATCGATTTGGTTGTGAAAGGAGCCATTCCAGACCGCCAACTATTGCAACTTTGATCGATTAATTAACCATCGACCACTATCATTCGGGGATTTTGGCGTCATGGAATCACGGAACGTGTCTTCGTGGTAGCTGATAATTGCTTCTAAGATGGTTGGGGGGGGGGGGGGGGGGGGGGGGGGATCAGCGTTAAAAGCGACCGCTGTTGAGATGTTAGAAATCCTGATGGCGAACCAATTGACGGATTCTTTCATGCAGATTGGAATGAAACTTTGTAGGTTTATAGAGCGATTCGAGACAAGAATATGCTTCGTTTATACCCAATCGCCCTTTAAGGGTGTGAAAGTGAAAACTAACCCCAAAGTCGAATAGGCACTCCCACTTTTGTCAGTACAGGCGATAGAAACAAATTTTTCACAATAAAAGTTTAATGGTGAAAATAGCGCGGTAAACTTACCCTAAACAAATTTTGGGAAAAGTGTTTTAAAATTTTCTTTAAATTGAAGGGTTTGAGTCAAGCCTGAGGTCCTCCTTTTCTTCAATAAACACAATAATCCTAAAATTGGAGGTGTCCCTGAATTGACCCTAGAACGTTCAACGGCAAAAAAAAAAGGGAAAAGCTTTCTGTCCCGTTATCTCTTAACTCTCTCCGGAGAAAACGCCTCGAAAATTCGATTCTTTCTGTCAGGCGATTCCCTTCGGGATATTTCACCGAGGCACGTCGTCGGTTCGCGTTCCCTTTCCTGTCCAGGAAAGATATTATTTGCTTAGAGTGGACCCGATTCCTGCGCCGCGTGAATTATAGGGGCCTCCCGACCACTTGGCGCAAGGAAACTACCCCGAAGGGGGTGGAGGCTCTCCCTTTCCCGTCTACCGAACTCACAGCCGAGTTGTGTTATTAGTTCTGGGGCGTTGAATCGCCCTGCATACCTTACTTGCCCGATTACCGTGCGCATTGTGCCGTCTGTGTCGTATTTCGGTGTCCTACCGTTTACAGCGTCTACCATCTAACGGGGGCATCTTAAATATTTCACTTGCTTCTGAAGATAAATGAAAATTTAAAAGGAAAATATTATTTAGTAGGTAGAGGCAAATACTGTGACAGTAAAAAAATTGTTCTCAAGGTTAGACTTCACGAACTTTCAAGGTCATCTATATTTTTTTTAAACGGGATTACATATTTTTATCATTGTGACGTTATAGTTGAGAGCAAGACCAGTTCAATGACCTGTAGTAGTGTGACCTTCATGTGACCTTGAGTACGAAAAATCCATTATCGTCTA